AAATTACCTATTGTTGTCAAACTTTGGCCTTCCACCCACTACAGACCTACAAAAATGGAAGCCAAAACTTTGCTCATATCCCTCTGTCTTGTATTCAGCGGCATTTGCCTGCTTTCAAATTTTACTGCTAATTGAAATAATTATTCTAATGTGTCTGGGTTTCTTAGCTCATCAAAATCCTGAATTTGAGGTGACAGCCTACACCAGGGGTGGCGAACCTTTAAAGATCAACGTGCCATTGTTTCTAAAGAAATGTATAATGAGGCCATAGACGTGCCATCAAATAATTTTGAATTGGTGATTATTAGGAAAATAATAAAACTAAATACTAACAACTCAAAACTCTTTATTTACTAACAAGAAATACAGTTATATGTGTAATTCAAATTAAAATAACATTAGTGCGATTTCTGTTGTTGCAGATTAGATGACAAATAACTTATATTAGGGTTGTAAGATGTTACTTTTAGCAGAATGCATGATGAACTGTAATCATTTGTCAAACGGTGTCTAAGTGAGTTTTTAATGTTATTCATCTCTAAAAATAATGACTCGCAGCCATAAGTATAGATGAAAATATGTTAAAATAGCATGAGTCAGCTTCTTTGAACTGTTAAATGTGTCTGGAATCAAATTCCACGTTGCCAAAATTTCATTACTGCCATTTTTACTTATATTGCTTGTTAATTTTTCTGCTTCAATCAATTCCAACTTTTTTTTTGTTTCAATAAATTTTTCTGTCCTTATTGAACTAGACTGGAAATCAATCAGCTGCATTTTAAAATCTTCAATTTCCAACCAGTCGCATTGGGAGAAGTTCAGTTTATCAAATGAAATCACATCAGGGTACATAATATACAGTATCAAGAGATGTTAAACCTTTCTTAGCACATAAGACTTGTTAGTGAGTAATGCTGGGAAATTCAAGAATTAAATGTCCTACATCTGTTTGAAATAAATTAATAATTCCCCTCCCCCCCCACACACACCATACTTTCAACACTGTCAGTTATTGAATGTCCTACATCTGTTTGAAATAAACTAATGAAACTTTTTCCCCCCTCCATACTTTCAGCACTGTCAGTTATTACTGAAACAATTTTTTTCAAATCAATTTATTTCTCAGAAAGTGAATTTTTAACAGCCATACAAATATCTGATCCCTTTGTAGCTCTTAGCAACAATATTATTGCAATTAATACTCCCTTAATGACATTTCCTATGCAATGTCGAGCAAAAAGCGCTAAACGTGCAGATTTAGTGACATCAGTACTTTTGCCAAGACATAGTGATATGAAAGGAGTGGAGTTAATGTCATTTTTTTGTTGATCTGTTACATTTCCGGCCAGTTTTAAGTCTTCCTTTTATTGTGTTTCTAGATAAAGGAGTATCATTGATGCACTGAATTATTTTATCTTTATTATCAAAATCATCAAAAAGTGAGGACGTACATGCTAACCAGTCTTCCTTCAAACACTCTCCATCTTGAAAAGGTTTACTATGTCGAGCAATTTCATTTGCAGCCAAGTAACTTGCCACTCTCATATGAAACTTTTCGCCAACATATTTAATCATATACACTGACTGTTTATTTCTGTCTTTTATTGCACTTGTGATCATTTCCTTTTGCTCTGGTTCGCTATTGTGACAAGGATTTGTGATTTGTTTCAAAATGCCGTTTTACAGATGATGCTCTACATACCACTGTTCCAGAACATAAAACACACACCACTTTGTTGCCTTTACTAATCATGCCATGTTTCTCAGCCCACCAGCTTTGAAATTCTCTGTTACACTTTTTGTTTTTATGATGAATTAGACATGTTAAATAACAGTTAAAAATCATAAATATAATGCAAATAAACTAGGTAAACTTCTAAAGCTACAAGATGAGACGTAGAGTGCATAAACAAACTATTCATCATTAACATGTAGTCCACAATGTAACTAAACCAAGACAATAACAAATGAGCACACTTTCCACCACCGCACCTGCCCGATATCTTCATAATGCAGGTTCATTTGCATTTGATCGTAATACTTCATAGTAAATTTTGTTATTTTTAATTAAAATGCAACCCATTTTGATCGGCGGTGTGCCCAAAATATTGTGTTGCGTGCCATTGATTCGCCACCCCTGGCCTAGACACTATAATTTGAATAACTTCTACATCAGGTTTTTATCCCTACAGTAAGTTTATGACCTGCATATTTCTTAAAATATAGTCCGTTAAGTTTTCTGCCATAGTCTGATATTTGCCCAAAATTTCCATCTCTGTTTTCACCCTATCTTTCACCACAGGAGATGCTTTCAGAAGGACGGTTTTAGACACTTCAAATTTATAATTCCCAGTGCTTCACTCACCCAATAAAATTTATACTTGCCTTTATATCAGCACTGGGCATGTTCTTGACGTGCAGTAGTTGCTATTGTGACTTGTAGCTCTGCACCAGGTTATAATATCGGGTTTTAACGAAAGGGTTTTCTGCCACCACAAATATCATCTGTGCAAACCGTTTGCATTACCATGTTTAATCACATTTTGTCGAACGATTTTTTAGCATTTGAAAAAAAGGTACTGTCTTTAGAAACAATGTTGTGAAATTTATAAAAAGTAACGTTTTCATTCAATACAAGGTGTCCGAAGTGGAACTATCATGCTACTAGATTAGAATCATCATTTACTTCCAGTTCTGTTGCAAAAAGTCAGCTACAGAATGCCACCAAATTAAGTGTACAGCTTTAGGCATTAATGTTGTATCATATAATACTGGGAAGGCTGAAAAACAAGGACTGTGACGCTCAAAGAGTAGAGCACTGGTGTTGATGACGCCCGCCTGCGAGAACATGTGGAAGAAGATTAGTATGCAAACACTCAAGAGCTTGTTAAGGAGTTAGATGTTAGTGACATGTCCATTTGTTGCACTATACATAGCATAAACATGATGTACAAGTTCAGTTGCTGGGTGCTGCATGAGCTGACTCAAGCAGATAAGGTCAGATGTGTTTGGGCCTGCACTAATCTGTTAGAATATGAATGGAAAAACAAAATTCTGGACCGGATCATCACTTGTGATGCAAAGTGAATTAACTTCAATAACACAGGCTGAAAAGGAGGTTGGTCTGCACCCCATGATCCATCCCATTGGTAGCGTCTCAAAGTGCAATTTGACTAACAAAAAGATCATGCTTTGTATCTGGTGGGTTTGCCATGGTATTATCCACAAAGAGTATCTGGAAAAAGGTAAAACCCTCAGCAGTAAGGTGGACAGCAAGGTGCTAATCTCTGTTGATGCTGCTAGCAAGGAAAAACTGTGAACCGAGTTCCAGCGCAAAAAGGTAATATTCCATCAAGTTAATCCAAGACCACATGTTTCTGCGTTCACCAGTTGAACTGTGTACAGACTCGAATGGGATCTTTTGCCACACCCACCTTATAGCTCCGACATCATTCCCTCAGACTTCTACCTTTTATCACACCTGCAGCTAAATCTTGCTGGTACTACCTCCTATTCTGCCCAGAATATCCGAAATGAATTTTATCCTTTGGGAGGTGATTACCATCCACACTAGAGCTGCTGCTTTCATGTGTTATTTTCAACTTTACTAAAAGCGTTTTTTTTTTTTTTTTTTCCCAGAAAAGTTTCGTTACAACCAGACAAAAATTGTGATTCTAATTGCTCCAACCTCAGCACTGAACTTCTGTCATTGAAATTGGTGTTTGGTTTCATTGATGCATGCTTGGTGTCTGTGATGAACCTGAAGCCTTCCATTAGAATTCCTGGTGCCAGAAAAATTTGGAATCTTTGGAAGGGGGCCAAACGAAACATTGGTTGGTCTTGAAACATGTTGTTTAATCAATTCGGGCACCATTTATAAGATTGTACTTAAGCTTTTATTTGAATTTGAGTCCTACATCCTTACTAGATGACTAGCGAGTTATCATTACATCTGAAAATAGTATGACAAGAGAGACTTCGAAAGTTTAAATAACCTTTTTATTAAACTGAACTTTTAACAGAGCCAGTACAGCTCATGCTACAGATATACTACTTGTGATGATGTAAAGTAATCAGTAAGAGGTACTTAAATTTAGACATTGCTAAATGTTGTCTTAAGACATTTACTTTTGATGAATACTAGAATAAGAGGAAATTAAACAGTCACAGTCAATCCGAGTTACCATTCTATGCTATTTGGCAAGCTATCAATGTTCTTCCTGAGTCATTTAGTATAGCAAATTTGCCATGATGCCGGTTAACACTACTCTAACCTTAAATATACTGTGATATCTTTTATTCTCATTAAATTAGTGACTCGTGTATATTAAAAGTTAGAAAGGATAAGATCAATAAGCTTAAAAATAATGCATAACATAAAGACTTGATTTTATTAACCTAAAAAATTATTGTACATTGCTTTGAAATATGTTATGAAACATTTATTTATTTTTCATGTTGCTGAAAGATTAAATATAGAACTTTATGTATAATTAATCTGAATTAAATTGGAGTATTTTATTGCAACAAAGTACACTACTATTGCCTTAGAAAAGTTGTCTTCATGGAGGAGTTTTAAAGAGTAGCTAGCCTATATTTACAGTTAACTTCCGTGCTGATAGCCCACTCTATTGCTAAGAATAGGGCATAGGATGGACATCCATTGTTTTGTAGTTTTAGCACCTTAACTGAGTGAGGCTGTGTTTAGCATGGATGCCTAATCTGTGTTGAGAAATAGAAGATGTAATGCCAAACCATATATTATACAATAAACTAGACTAACTCTACAGTTGCTGGTCAGAATTGTCTTTTCAGTATGATTTTCTCTGAGGAACTTAATATTATGGATGTATGATTGTACTGTGTCATTTTTCCTTATAAATTATTAAATTCTGTAAATTTGAGTGTTTATATGTTATAATAAACTGTACAAATTGGAATATATACTGTATGCATTAAAATGTTTTGCTTATAAGTGTTCCCTTTTTGTCCCCTCTTAGATATTGCTTTAGCAAGAAAGAGAAATTCATTGCCTGCCATATATAGTGAAACTGTTAAAGTAGATATTGACATGTCTATTTTTACATTTGATGAGCATAGTGCTGAAGTTCTGTGCTGTGCATATTCTCCTGATGATAGTCTTATAATATCCAGTGATTCCAAAGGATGTGTAATTGTAAGTTATGAATGTATAGTTACAAATTTTGTACATATATGTATCATTTTGATGAAATTGCAGTTTTATATATATGCAATAAAACGTAGCGTATTCGGAAACTAAGTACCGTTTCATTCTAGCACCGTCGCAGCGCTGTGGTAGGCGTCCCGCACATCCGCACTAGTCTTTCTTGTTCACTGACTTTCAATTGTCGCCATTTTGGTTGCTCTCTGTTGTGTTTTCAGTTTGCTGTGCGCATTCAAAATGTTTATTTAAGACAATTAGTTCTCCCACTGACTGTGAGATTTGTTCTGTGATTAAATTTTTGAACGCAAAGAATGTTAAACCGGCCAAAATTTATCGTCAAGTGACAGAAGTTTACGGTGAATACGCGATAAGTGATGGAAGGGTGAGAAAGTGGGTAAGAATGTTTAATGCAGGTCGAACAAATGTCCACGCCGAGGATCGGAGTGATCGGCCTTCTGTTGTCACCGATGATTTGGTAAGTTGATGAAGCAATTCATGAGAACAGATGCTTCACAATGACAACTCTTTCAGAGGCATTTCCAGAAATTTCACGTACTGTTTTGTGCAAAATTGTGTCTGACCGCTTGAATTATCGCAAACTGTGTTCCCGATGGGTTCCAAAAATGCTCACTGATGTTCACAAAACAAAGCGACTTGGTACTGCCCTGACATTTTTCACGCGGTACAGTGATGAGGGAGAAAACTTTTTAAACCAAATTGTGACAGGTGATGAAACTTTAGTGTGTTTAATGTGGCACGATATTGTGAGACTTTAACAAAACTAAGGCGTGCCATTCAAAACAAACGAAGAGGAATGCTTAGTAAAGGAATTGTGTTGCTCCATGACAATGCTCGGCCCCATACTGCTGGTGTCACTCAATCGTTAATTCGACAGTTTCATTGGGAGCAGTTCGATCACCCGCCGTACAGCCCGGACTTGGCGCCATCCGACTATCACTTGTTCCTGCACATGAAGCGCGAGCTTGGTGGCAAGTGCTTTGGATCTGACGATGACACGAAAAATGCTGTGGAGTCATTGTTATCGAAACTGACGGGAAGTTTCTTTGACGATGGTATACAAAAACTGGTCACCCGCTATGACAAGTGTTTGATCATTGGCAGAAACTATGTTGAAAAATAGTTAAAGACATGTATTTTCATGTAAAAATAAAATTGGGTTCGAAAAAATTGTTTTACTATTTTTTTTTTTTTTTTTTTTCCAAAACGGTACTTAGTTTCCGAATATGCCTCGTAGCAAGAAAAAGACGGAGCAGTGTTGATGTGTAATGGCTATATAGGATACATTGTAGCTCTGATTGAGCAGTATGCTAATATGTTGACTTCGTAATATCTAAAAACTTGGCAGTTGAGGTAGTTTTAATTCCATTTTTATTTGCAACTGACATGTTAATCAAACTTTATAGTCCACTTCTGCATCTGCAACTGACATATGTGGCCACAGTTCACTTGGCATTTTAGTCTTGAATATTCAAGAACATTTACAATTTTGGTATTATTGTGATAAAAACGAACCCAGCAAAATAGCATACAAGCACTCTACAGATGGATGCTAAAGTGTGTAGTTAAAGTTTCAGTTTCCCATTTTTACGCTATCAGTGCTGCTCAGGCCATGCAAAATGGAAATGATCTAGAAATGGAGCAATCCAGAGAAGTTATTACGATTTTTAGAACTGTTAGTTTAAATTATAATTTTCATTCACATATTTTTTTTATCTTAACATATTCCCCCTCCCCCCTTCAAAGAGAAAAAGGCTTGGCAACAGAAAAGCCTTTTTAGAAAAAAAGCCTTAAAGCAACGAAACGAGGAAGTTATTATTTGTAGTGCATTTATTACAAATAGTTACAAGTCCTTAAGTCCTTAATTTTTTGGAATCGATTTTTGGTCCTTAAAAGTCTTAATTCGGCCAAAATCGGCAAGAGTCTTAAATTTAATGATCTGAAATTTCTGTCTGTTTTTTTCCATTGCCTGGGAATTAGCATTTTGGAGGCATATTTTCGAAAAATCGTGGAAGAGTCCTTAAGTTTTTTGGAAGCGTTTATGGATTATAAATGTTTTTCTAGAAATATAAAAGGTGGGATAGAGTTTCTGAGCAAAAGTGCAACACGAGCATTCTGAAATTATTTTTTCGCTTTTGGAGATATTTCTTTATTAAATTGCCTAATTGTGGGCAATTTGGCGAGAAATACGAGAAAAATTTTTTTCCGAGAACTGAAATTTTCGACATTGAACATGATAAACAATATGTTGTAATTATTAAACATAATGGAACATTACAGTTTTTTATTATAAAAAAAGTAATGATTCCACAGAAAAAAAAAAAAATTGGATGCATAGCAAATTTTTTAGTTAGTTAAAAGTTAATTAATGAAAAATGAAAAAAGCATTAGCGTAATTTCTAAGAAACAGTAAAACTTAAACTATATTAACTGAGTTACAACCCCTGGAACTCTATGACACTAACTGCGTCAGACAGACCCCAGCTAACTTTCAAAACTTGCAAACCGGGCTTACATCAGGTCTTTTAGGTTTGTTCTGATCAGCAGATCTCTAGCAGGAGCGGTGACAACAGCCAGTCTTTTGTTTTGAATTATGCTGATTGTGATTTTACTTCTCACTTTATGCTGCTTGACATAAAATCTACTTACTAAATCCTTAGACTGAGCAAGTATGTGATAAAATAAGACATTAACAAAAATCAACGTAAAGCTAACTGTTAGAAAACCTAAATAAAATGTTGCTTTTCTTCTTTCAAATATATCCAATTATTATGAGTGTAAAATATTTAATGCTACTTGATATATTTCACAAAATTTATTTTATTCTCAAACTTACTTAATATTATGTTTAACAATAATGCATCCGAATTAATTTAATAATGTTTAATAATAATGTGTCCGACTTATGGATCTGTTTTATTTTTAGAATGGTATTACAAGTGAAGTTCAGCATAGATAATATTTTTAATTGAAATTTATTCAGTTCCCAATTGCTTATAGGTCCTTAATTTTTTCATTAATGATCCTTAAAAGTTCTTAAAAGTACTTAATTTCCGTGTGCAGAAATGTGTACAAACCCTGGTTGAACAAACTCTGCATAGGGAGTTCCATACACCTTCTTTTGAAAAAGACTGTGGTTAAAAAATCGGATGTTACAAAAAAAGTAATTATATTGCTACATATTTGAATACTCAATGATAACTAACTTTTAGAATGATGAATTTGTAGATACTATTTTACAGAAATGCAACTGAGGAACAAATGTTCCATTGAGGTTAGTAGCACGTAATCCAATCGTAATGTCGGACTAAAAATGTAAAAAGAAAAAATGCAAATTTGTAAGCACTGATGTAAGACCACTGAGATGTGGAAATGCTGGTGGTGTAGATACTTGATGCTTAGAGCGTCTATCCATTTTGAAGAAGAAGCAGTCAAGCCTGATTAAATTCTATATTTATTTTAATTCACACTTGTGGCCACAATTCACATGGCACTCCAATCAATCAATTTTCCAGAACATTCACAATTTTCATACTATGGAAATGGAAACGAACATAAACGATAGCAGAAGTGTCTTAACAGGATGAAAGGATAAGTGAGAAGAGAGAGAGTGTGTCATAGCACTTCAGAGGAAGGAGGGAATCAAAAAAGGTTTTTGTTTACAAATTACTTTGATTGAGCTTTGAAGAAATATTTGCATTAAGTGTTAAGTAAGATCGTATGATTAATTTGAATGACGCAGTTTACATTTATAGTGCAGTTTTTAAGACAGAGTGAGATGAGTCCATAAATTAAATGAAAAATAAGCGAGGTTATAGCCAATTAATTTTAGAAGTTGCTATACATAATATATATATATATATATATATAGATATATATATATACATATATATATATATATATATAGATATATATATATATATAATATATATATATAGAGTATCATATATATATAGTATATATATCTATATAGTATAAAAAAATTATAAGTAAGTTTAAAAAGCCGAAAACTTATGCTAAAACTGCTAAGTAATAAATCAATAATTTCTTATTAGAAAAGGTCTCCAATTATCTAGATTTCTGTTGTAGTAAAAGTTATTTAAAATCTGTATAGAAAAATCCTTTAATAGTAAAAATTCCAAATATTAAATTCAAAATTCAAAGTACTGAAAAAGTAGTTATTGTCATCAATTGCAGATTAATTGCCTTGTCCAGGGTAACAAACCAATCTACTATTAGTCAACAATAACCAAATTAAATGAGAGTGTTTCATCTTTTTTTCAATATGTATATATATTTTAACAAACATGTATATACGTAAAAAGCAAATTTAAAGTTAATATATATATATATATATATAATGTAACATGAAAATATAAAGAAACGAAGCTGTGCTGGAAAGGTAAGAATACAGGGGCAAGTCTATTTAACATTTAGTAAAATGGCTATCTCACTAAATCTCCAAGCTAGAGATTTTGACTTCCAGTAAATTTCAGCAACAATTTTCCTCTTACCATAAAGCTCCATTCAGCAGTTCGCGTGATTTTAATCGTGAATTAGTCACATAGTTTGAAAGATGGATGTTAGGACTGAAAATAAGAACATTAAAACAATTATGGGATTTATTATTATTAACAATTATAGGTCAGCATTCAGATTAAAAAAAGAGCTCCACTAGATTTCAGAGAATATCACTTGGAAAAATGAAGCACAATACTTTCGCCCTTAAAATTGGTTGAAATGCTTGGTGACTTCAAAAAGTAAAAAAGCCCACAAAAGCATCATTGGATATGAAATGTGATTGACTAAAGCTATTAAGGTTTCATTTTCCAAATTTTCAACGGTAGAAACAGAGAAACAAATAATAGAGATATTGGCCAAGGGACATCTGGAAACCAACAAACCGAGAGCATTGAAAGACAAAATAGTTGATTAAAAAGTTATGAGATAGTAGACATTTCAAGTCTTACTGCCCCAGAGTGACCAGATATGGAAGTGGTTCTATAATAAGGCGAGTGAAAAGACAACCTTATAAGCTTATAGTTGCATGAACGTATAATGATAATATCAATAAAGGAGTTCAGATCAAAGAGGTGACTTTTAACAATTTGACTGTTGTTGCATTAGTTGGCAAAGGAAGGGAGTTCAGCATGTCTTCTGTGTAGAAACACATATAAATAAATAGTGGCTCGCCAAAGCTATTAAGAAAACTAATGCTTTTATCCAGAATCGTTTCATCAAACGTTTGGACAATAGTATCATCTGAACATAATATGAGAATAGGTGGATGTACAATGCAGGGGGGAAGGGACAGTTCTCACTTTCTACTGGGCCGATTGAAGAAATTGAAATTGTGTTTTTTATGTCTCGAAAGCACGACTTAGGGTTAGATTTATAGTATATAGCACTGTTCTAATGCAAGTATTTTGACAGAAAATCAGACTTTTTCTGAAATGATAGGCCAATTTTTGTCCATATTTCGATTCTACAGTTTATGTTCAAATATTAAATTTTGTAAAATTTGGGACGAAATTTACGGAGAAATTAAAAAATTTAACGTGACGCATTTTTTTTTCAGTTTGCACCAAGAATAATTCACTTGACGAACTTCTTAATTTATAGCAGCCTATTTTCCTTTCCTTTTTTCATTGTAAACGTGCGTAAACCACGTTTGCCGTTATTATCGCTTATAACAAATATACCAAATTTCAAAACATGCCAATATGTAAATTATGTATATCCTAGAAACTTTTGAATAAAAAACTCTAATTTTTGCAGGTATGCTTAGAAATATATCTACTTTAAGATAATGATAAAAATGTTACAGGTTACAATTCAAAATTTGTTTCAAAAAATTTATAAAAATTATTTAAAAATAGATCATAAAAAATTTTATTTGGAATGAACCTAAATTTCGAATCCTGTAAAAAGTAATCAAGTAAGCTTAACAAAAAAAGAGATATTAATAAATATATATCAAATTCAATAACCATTGAGGAGTTAAAATTTTGAGAGCTAATTTTTTAAAAACTACTCTAGTACCTATCGATTTTGACAAAATTTGATAGTTTGGCATAATTTGAGTCATACCGACAATGGAAATATGAAAACAAATTGGGACGTCATTTCAGAAAAAGTCCGATTTTGTTTCAAAATACCTATATTAGAACCATACTATATAAAAATCTAATACATATCCTAAGTCGCGCTTTCGAGACATGAAAAACACAAGTTGAATTTCATCAATTGGCCCAATAGAACGAGAGATATAGAACTGTCCCTTATTTTTATTTTATTTATTTTTATTTATTTATTTATTTATTTTTGCAATGTTCATTTGCTCTGATATGGAATGTAGTACCTGCTGAGTTGAGTCATTAGGCAGTGACTGATGTGGGTATTCCTTATCAAGCCTCATTAAATTTTAGTGAAAAGGAGGCTGCGTTTTCTAATGTGAGATCACAAATAGAAATTCTACTGAATTTATGATCTTATTTTGGAGGATGTGAAAAAGAGTATAGAATCATAAAATTCTGCAAGGTGTTCTTTTTAATAA